TTTTCTGCATATAAACTGACGTTTTCCCAGCCACTATCAGTTCTGAGGAAGGGTCACTGGAACTGAAACGTTAACTCTGTTTTCTCCTTCACAGGTGCTGCCAGACCTGCTGAGCTTTTCCAGCAACTTTGTTTTTGTTTATGATGCATTACACTGGAAAACATTGGACCCATATAACACAGCAACAGCTGGTTAGTCCCCCAGTTTCTAACTTTGCTTGTTTGTTGAGATGCATAGATCTTTTAGGAAAACATTTTATCATAGTTTTCTCACTGAAACTTGTACAATGACCACACTTCTGCCTCCTCCTGAACATGCACAGTGCTAACAATTTACCTAACCCGGAGATATTTTGAAGCAAGACCCAACAAAGCCAAAACCAGTTTGAAATATTATACTTCCCATGGGCATAACTCACTCATTATGGAATAGCAACATATCAATGCATGGAGAATAAAGTGCCAACAGGCTATACTTTAGCCAACAGAATTCTGTTAACCTTTCGTCTTTTCTACTTTGTCTGGTTTCTGCTTAAAACTTCAGGGAAATTCAAATTAAACTGACTCCAGTTGTGAACAAGTTGTCAGCCATTCCCACCAGCAAAGTAGGAAATCCAATAGAAGGATGTCTGTGAAAAGGTAGGATTCCAGACTGGTAACCCCAGATGGGCTGAATTTGTGCACACTTCTTATATGATGCGCCAAGCAATTGGAGTGGAGTTGGGCTACAATAGAATCTAACATCACTGGCAGGTTCATAGTGATCGCTTAAAAATAGTCTCATTTATGTCCTGAATGCACACACACCAAAAGATACTCCAACAAGGTCAAACATGGATGTTACAGATTTAAATAGGGAGAAAGGGAGAGGCGGATAGAAGATAGATAAAGGAGAAGATAGGTTTAGAGGATACAGACAAGTCAAGGAGGCGGGGTTGGAGCCAGGAGAGGTGAGTGTCGGTGGGGAGTTTAGGGGATAGGTCGGTCCAGGGAGGATGGACAGGTCAAGGAGGCGGGATGAGGCTAGTAGGTAGGAGATTGGGGTGGGGCTTGAGGTGGGAGGAGTGATAGGTGGGAGGACAGGTTAGGGAGGCAGGTACGAGCTGGGCTTGTTTTGGGATGCGGTTGGGAGAGGGGAGATTTTGAAGCTTGTGAAGTCCACATTGATACCATTGGGCTGCAGGGTTCCTATTTATCCATCTTCTATCCGCCTCCCCCTTTCTCCCAATTTATTTCAGAATCCCCTTCCCTGTCCCCATTTCTGAAGAAGGGTCTAGACCCAAAACATCAGCTTTCCTGCTCCTCTGATGCTGCTTGGCCTGCTGTGTTCATCCAGCTCTACACCTTGTTATCTCAGATTCTCCAGCATCGGCAGTTCCTACTATCTCTGATACAGATTTACCATCTTCTACCAAATTACCTTTACTGTCTAGAGACGATTTATGTAATGATTGAAAGCGAAGCAAGGATTACATCGCTGCTTTGGTCTGCGGCAATGTGAATGGTATCAAACTGCTGCCATTTCTTTGTGATAAGAAAGTCCAAGATGCCACACCATTCCTTTGCAAATTTTTAAGGTTAGAAGCATTTTTGAGGTCAGAAGAAAGGAAAGATGAGCCTGATGAATTCCTGGCTGCTCACACCTGTTTCCCTAGCTGAAGCTGTAAAGGCTATTGAGATACTCCAGGATTTCACATTATACCACAAAAACACAGAAAACATATTTGACTGTATTGACCACATGGTGGGCTTTATTGCACTTGCCCAAAGACTGCATATTAAACCAAAAGCATTTCTCCTCAGCTAATACCTAACATTTTCGATGCCTTTTGCTGTACAAGGTCAGTCCATTGACAGGTGTGAACAAATTGAAAATAAAGGCATTTGTTATATGTTTACTTTGTAACTATATTTTCATCTTTTAAAATGCAGAGCATATTTTTATCCAAATTGTGTTACAAAGAGACTTCCTTACCTATCTCAAAGCTTCCCTTCACCCGGATTTGTGGATTAGCCCCTTGTGGTTTGTATTATCATGATTTTACTGTAAAACGTTTTGTCCCTGTCATTACCTTAATGAGTGCCTCCTGCACTCTTTCCCTGATTTCAACAGCATTCCTAAAATAGCTGATCCATTTCCCACAGGATTTCTTTTTAGATCTAACATCATGAGATAAAACAGGCAAGTGAGTTTTCAGATGAAGATATGAGGAATAATGTTTGAACTGTGACTTAACATTGATCAGTGTTCCCTCTAATTAGGTTGTTGACTTGCTCACCGAGCTGGTAAGTTTGTTTGCTACATGCTACACACATACTACCTCCGGTGAAATGTCAGTGTTCTGTCCTGTTTGCTATTTATGTGTCTCAGTTTGTTGGGGTGGGTGGCATCACTTCCAGATTTGTTTCTTTGTGGTTGGTACATGGGGTCCAGCTCCATATGTTTTTTCATGGAGATCCGGTTTGAGTGCCAGGCCTCCAGGAATTCTCGTGCATGTCTTTTTTTGGCTTTTCCTACGATGGCTACATTGTCCCAGTTGAATTGGTGTCCCTTTTTGTCCATGTGTATTGAAATGAGTGATAGTTAGTCATGTCTCTTGGTAGCCAGTTGGTGTTTGTCACTTATTTCAATACACATGGACAAAGAGGGACACCAGTTTGTCTGGGACAACGCAGCCATCCTAGGACATGCTAAGCAAAGACACGCACGAGAATTCCTGGAGGCCTGGCATCAGATCAGAACTCCAATAACAAACATGTAGAGCTTCACCCCATATAATTACTACTACTAAGAAACAAATCCAGAAGCAATGCCACCCGCACCAGTAAACCGAGGCACATAAATAACAAGCTTCACTGGAGGCGCACTGATGATGTTACCTAGCATGGTGATGAAATGTCTGAAAACAAACTTACCAGCTTGGCGAGCAAGTCAACAACCACATCAACAACCTGAGCTACAAATCTTCTCAAAAACCTTGTTCCCTCTAATTCTCCAAGGCCCTGCATAGCAGCAAAGTCTGGAACCAGAAGTCAATGCTGCGATCGGCGTAACATCTTTAACAACTTGTTGTCGACCATGTTATTTTTAATCAAGCCGTTTGGACTTGTCATTACACGCCTCTGCAGCAGGCAGAACTTGAACCGAAACCTTCTAGCTTAGAGGGTGGAGCATTACCACTGATTCACAAATCACTTCCTCCGCTTTATTACATGGTCTAAAAATTAGATTGTGTCTAAATCAGGGCATGACTTCAACACAATGCATGTTGTACATGCTTAATCAGCAATTTGTCAAAATGCTATGGAGTAAGGGGTAATACAAATCAGCCACTGATGTATCTGATGATATGTGCATGAAATAAGCAGAATAATCCAACTAAAGTTTGAAAGGGAAGAAACATCCTGTACTTGAAGAGACATTGTTCTAATCAAGACTGTACTAATCCTTACAGAGTGAAGAAATAGTTAGAATGACTTTACTATGTTTACGTTCAGTTTTTTGATAGAGTAGAACATACAAGGTTTACCAACCAAACCCATATTATGGGGACTGGGGTAAACCAAGCCAGGCATATAAGTCAGACCAAGCCATGGTCATCTACTCCCAAACCATTTTTATATTAAGCCCATAATAGCATTATTTTGCGATGCAGCTTTCTAAGTTTAAATGGCAGGAATAGCACACATTTTGCCATCAGTACACTGATCAACAGAAAATAATATTAATATAATACTGAATGAATAAACTGTACATTGGAAAGCAGATGACTTCAATTGATTTAATAAAGATAAAATGCATATGTTAGCAATTCTGGGGCCTGTTACTTGCAAGTTTAAAGTGTTAATTATTTGAAAAAGTATTGACAAGATGTTTATATTGTTTCCCTTCTCTGAGAGACAATGGTATATCCATAGATGAAGATACAGTGGAGACACTTAGAGTTCTACAAAGCTCAATTAAATTATTAAGTACTTAGTGAAAAGCATGTGTTATTCATTTACTAGAGATATTTCAATCACTGCCTTTCACTATCCTGGGTTATGTAACTGACCCCAGAAGTTATTACCCAGGAGAGTTGGCAGCTGGCCAAGCTGGACTCTTCTCAATGTCTTCATCACACCTCCTGACATAGGGTACTTCCTGCAGAGTTATTCTTTGAAGTCCTGCTGAAAATCAAGGATTTTCCACGGCTGCTTAATACACAGGTCATTGTCTGAAGTGTGTGCCTTATTTGGAACTATTTGCGAATGTGATCAATCCCGAATATTTCAACATTATTTGGTAGAGACAGCATACAATCATAGAATCCCTACAGTGTAGAAGCAGGCCATTCAGCCCATTGAGTCCACACTGACCCTCCAAAGAGCATCCTACCCAGACCCCTACCCTATCCCTGTAACCCCACATTTCCCATGGCTAATCCTGCACATCCCTGGACGCTACAGGCAATTTAGCATGGCCAATTCACCTGACCTGTACATGTTCAGACTGTGGGAGGAAACCTATGCAGACACAGGGAGAATATGTGATTAGCACACAGTCAGTCTCCGAGGGTGCAATCAAACCCGGGTCCCTTGCACTGTGAGGCAGCAGTGCTAACCAGTGCGCCATTGTGCAGTTACTGATTACTGAGCAATCTTAGTTCGTAGCAGACTTGACTGAGTCAGTGTAATTCCACTCACATAAAAGCTTCTTATCAGTTCCTGTTATCTTCAGCCTTATCCAGCAATATTCAGAGATCATAAAACAATGCTATCATGACCAATATCCAGTATGTATATAGCCTAATAATATAAAATACCGTTTGCAACATTTCCACGACATTAGCAAGCAATGTAAATTTCCCTATCAGTTTATTGGGTGTTATTTTGAAAGTATACACACTTTTAAAAAAAATCAAATTATATTACTTAATCATATAGAAGTTTATGACACACCCATTTCTGTAGCTTGGGTATAAATGAAAAGTGCTGTCTGCAGCCTTTTATCGTACCAAAATGGCATCCAAAACAAATGTTCTCCTATATATCTTTGTCATGACATTTACTTATGCTGACAGCTACGGTAAGTAAAGAAAATGACAATTACTGCGATAAATGTTATTTTATTCAATAGATATACTGACAGGTTTTTATTTTAAATTATTCAGTTGAATGAAGGCCAGCTCATGTCATTGTGAATTTTGTCATTTAAGTATATTTAATCTCTTAAAGAGATAAACTCAAAATAAAGAATAAAAATATATGATTTCAAACTTTGATTCATATTGGTATTAGCATGTTTTTCAGTCTTAAAAACAGAATTGACGCACTGCTGAATATTACGAATAGAGTCTTGCTTTGGACAGGGTACAGAAAAGGTTTACAAGGGTGTTGCCTGGTATGGGGCATTTTAGCTGTGAAGAAAATTTGGGTAGACTGGGTTTGTTTTCACTGGAATACAGGAGGTTGAGGAGCGACCTGACAGATGTTCATAAGATTGTGAATGGCATGGATAGAGTGGAAAGTATGAGGCTTCCTCCCAGTATGGACAGGTCAGTTACTAGGGGTCACAAGTTCAAGATGCGGAGGAAGAAGTCTAAAAGAGATGTGCGAGGCAGGTTTTTCACACCAAGTGTGGTGAGTATTTGGAATTCGCTGCCAGAGGAGGTGGTCGAGGCAGACACAATAGAAGCATGCAAGAAGCACCTGGACGAAGACATGAATAGGGGGGAATAGAAGGATACAGATCCTGTCAGTGAAGACAGTCTTAGTACGAAAGGGCAAAATGTGTCAGTGCGGGATTGGAAGGCCAAAGGGCGTGTTCCTGGGCTGTGCTGTTCTTTGTTCTTTGTCCTGTGTTCATTTCCTGACGGCAGCATGTAGTTAGCTTGCTTTACTTCTAGTTGATAAGAAAATCAGAAAGTAGATGAAAAATGCACTTTAAAATCCAATGAACTATGAAAAACAATTTTGCTCATTGAAAGTTATTTTTTTGATAGACTACTTTGCTACAACAACAGGTAATGAAAATATTCTTAATTTGAAGGTGATTTTTTTCATGACTGTGCTATGCAGTATGGATATACACATAGTTTGAAATAGTAACTGAAGATTGTTGAGTAATATTTCAGTCTAAACATTCAGTGTCAGTCTCCTTCAAACGTGAAAGCTGCAGTTACATAATATACTTCGTACGAAATATCAAGGTTTGCTCACTATTAAAGAATCAATGGTAAATTGCAAGCTTATGTCTTTTACATGCTAACAGAGCACAGATCCGGGACTTTACAATTCTCTTTCTATTATATTATCAGATAAAATTAATCAGACTCCACTCCCAGCATCAAACCTGGTGCATGTGAATTGGAAAATCTGTTGTTTTGCCCAATTTGGAGCAAATACCATTTTCCAAGCTATGAAACCAAGGGTGAGAAGCAACCCCTCCTCAGGCAATTATAATCCTGAATTAAATTAAAATTTTAGTGACAGTTCCCTTGTAAATTACACAAATTTCAGTGAAACATGCTATGCAGACAAGAAAGATGAAAACAGATCCTAGTAGAAAGTCCAAATCTCCTTTCAACTAAGTTTTAGAGAAAGATTGTTGCTGTTTCTATTGCTTTTGAAGTCTAGTTTTTGTGATCATATTGATCTTGCTGGTGCATGTTTTAATTCCCTCTGTACTTCATCATCTGAAGTCTTCTGTTGAAGCTCATTCTCTTATAGACTTGCCGCTAACTACTGAAGTGGCTAACAAAATTTTCAAGGAGATGGGTAAAAGCTGTAACCACTCTATGATATTAACAAAATTGGGAAGGTTGGAGTCCCTTTCGCTTTTCCTATAGTGCTGTAGGTTAACATCTCCAGATCAAATGACATTTCAGGAAGTACGTTTACCTCCACCAATATCTACATAACTGTCTTTACAGATCAACAGATTCATAAGTATTTGTCAGAGGAGATCTGTATTTATCACTTGCACTTCTCTGAGGAAGTAACGATCAGATTATGACTTTGCTAGTTGGAGGAGTGGTTTAAGATGCAACTGTAAATATTGCAAAATAATAAGCTTCTCATAGGACTATAGAAATCATAAAATCACAAATACAATTGCAATATATGTACACACAGATTAGAAATAAGACGAGTCCAAAAAAAGTTTACAAAATAATTATAGGATCAATTTCTGAATTATTTGTGAAGAGCAGATATGATAACATTGCAGCTGTTATTTGATGGCACTGGTAGCTGTGATATTATCTGTTGAACAGTTGTTTTTTGAGATTCTTAACTTTTAAAGCTGATTCAAGTTCCGCTGATTGATTCCTTTTTTAACTGGTTTGCAGCATTCAGAGTGAGATGTTCTTCCTTTCCCTACTTGCGTTGTGGGGGTGCTTACTTGTTGTTCTCAAGCTGTGACATCCACTGCTGATAACACATGGCTAGTATTGAAGATCTCTCTCAAATCCTTTCTTTTGTATATTACTGGAAGATGAAATCCTGAAACTATCTGGAAGAGGTTGCTCTCTTCCATGAGATGACGAGGAGTGATGGATTTAATCGTACAGTCATACAGCATGAAAACAGAGACGTTGGTCCAACCAGTCCACGCCAACTATTTCTTCAAACTAAACTAGTCTCACTTGCCTTTGTTTAGCCCATATCCCTCCAAACCTTTCCTATTCATGTTCTTATCCAAATGACTTTTAAACATTGTAGCTGTACCTGCATCCACCTCTTCCTCTGGCAATTCATTCCTCAGATAAACCACTCTCTGTGTAAAATCTCAAGTCACTACGTCTCTGTTTGAAGTTTCTTTGAAACCTTTAGGTGTTACATTCCATCAGTGCCAATTAAGCACAGCATTCCTGCTCTTGTACTCTTTGCTCCTATTAATAAAGCCCAAGATACTCAATGAAATATCAACTGGTCTCTCCAGCTATCCTATCACCTTTGATGACTTAAGTACATATGCACCTAGTTTCTCTCTGTTCCTGACCAAAATGCATCTCAAATATCTCTGGTTTGAACTTAACTTGTCATCCATGTGCCACTCCACCAACTTGCCAAAGTATTTTTGGAGTACTGCACTGCCCTCTTTCCAGTTTACGATGCTTCCAAGTTTTAATTATCTGAAAATGTTGAAATTGTATCCTGTACGCTAAGGTCTAGATTATTAATATATATCAAAGCAAAAGGAAGGCAAGTATCCCAATATTGACTCCTGGAAACTCCACTACAAACTTTCCTGTAGCCTCTCCCTCAAAATTGATTAATCTTTATTATTTGTTTCCTGTAATTCTGCCAATTTTGTATCCATATTGCTCCTGCTCCTTTTATTCTATGAACTCCAACATTGCTTGCAGGTCTGTTGTACAGTTAAACACCTTTTGGAAGCCCACGTACACCACATCATCAGGATTGCCTTCTTCAACCATCTCTGTTATGTCTTCAAAAATTTCCAGAAGTTTTTTAAACATAGTTTTCCCTCACGAAATCCATGGTGTTTCTCCTTAATTAACTTATATTTATTGATGGGACTATTAATTCTATCCTGAATGATTGTTACTCAAAGTTTTCATGCCCCTGAAGTAAACTGACAGTCGGTAATTGTTATGTTTATCTTTACAATATTTTTGAGCAAGGGCATAATGTTTACAATTCTCCAGTCTTCTGGTACCACTGCTGAGTTTTAGGAAGACCCAAAAATTATGGCCCTGTGCCTCCTCAATTTCTACTCTCACTTCCTTCAGTATCCTTGTATTAATTTCATTGTGTTCCAGTGCTTTGTTAGCTTTAACTACAAACAACCTCTTCAATACCTCTTCCTTATCAGTTTTGAGCTCGCCTATTGAATGAACTTTCTCATCTATCAGCATGTCCTGGGTATCACCTGCTTCTTCCATAAACATAGAAACTAATAATAATTTAAAACCTTTGCCACGCCCACTGTTTCCATATGTGGAAATCTTTGTTGCTTCCTGACTGACCTATGGAAGACTTTCAGATTTGCTCTTATGCTAGCCGCCAAACTCTTTTCAGAATCCCACTTTGCTTCTAATATTGGAATTTTACCCTCTTTTCTGAAACTTCTATGTTCAGCATGATTCTAAATTGTATTTTCTACTTTATACCTACGATAAACAACCTTTACTTTGTTTTCTTAATTTCTAATTCCTTTCTCGTCCAGGGACTCTGTACTTGGTTGTCCCCCCTTTTCCTTTGAGGGAATATACTTTGGCTATGCCCAAATTGTCTCTTCTTTGCAGGTAGCCTATTGTTCAGCTATAACTTTTCCAATCAACCTTTGTTTTATGTCTATCAGGCCCAGTTCCATCTTGCCCCCTTGAAGACAACTCTAATCCACTTAATTATTTGCACTCTGCATTGCTCATTGGTGTTCCTAACTCTTGACCATCTGTGTCCTTTAAGCTACCATTATCCCAGTCTACATTTGTATAATTAATGTCTTCCATAATAATTACTCTATAATTTCCTTTCAGATTTGTTCCTCACCAGAGGAATATTACAAAATTGCAACTTGAGACCTTGCTAAAATTAGAAATAACTTCTAATCTAATTTAATATTCACTGTTCAACAGGATATGGCTCATGCCAATACAACTGTGGAGGACATACATCAGATTGTTCCTGTGATTACAATTGTTGGTATAATGGCAATTGTTGCTCCGATTTCTGTGATCAATGTCCTTACATGGGCAATGGTAAGAGAATTTTCAGAAAATAAACTAATCTTTAAGTATATGTCCAAGATTGATACATTCCAAAGAGGACCAGGAGTCTTGGCAGTGTGGAGGAACAGAAGGATCTTGGGGTCCACGTCCATAGATCCCTTAAAGTTGCTACCCAAGTTGATAAGGTTGTAAAGAAGGCGTATGGTGTGTTGGCTTTCAAAGAGTTAAGCAGCAGGAGCTTTGTGATGGACATGTTCACTCTACAGGCAGCAAGGTTCGAAAGAGATCTGCCTGTCTGAAAAAGCTGAAGACATTATATGATCGGACTCTTCAATTGACATTCCACTACACTTACACAAATGCACAATAAAGATAAAATTATAAAGAGCTGAGGAACAGCCAATGCACCAATGAGATTTTCTTGAAAGTTATTGTGAATTCGTATTGCTGAGACCTGACGATATTAGATGCTTTTTCTGTGCTGTGTAATATTATGGATGGTATTATTGTCAAGACTTTTCTGTATTGTATTGACTCAAATGTCGAAATCAGTTCAACCTGGCCCACAGAAATTCAGTTCAGTTACACTGTCCGGCTCTGAAACATGCCTTTCGCATTATTAACTTTATTCTCAATTTTACTGCTTCGGAAGGTGTCTCTGATGAGGAAAGGAGAAACCAGTGGTAGTAGATGCATTCTGTTTGTTTCGACTAAACAGGATAAGGAAGACAGAGAGGGTTACAGCTTCATGTTACATAGAACATAGAATAGTACAGCACAGTACAGGCCCTTCGGCCCACGATGTTGTGGCGACCTATTATCCTACTCTAAGGTCAAACTGCCCTGCGTACCCTACATTTTACTATCATCCATGTGTCTGTCCAAGAGTCACTTAAATGTCCCTAATATATCTGACTCCACTACCACTGCCGGCAGCGCATTCCATGCACCCACTACTCTGTGTAAAGAACCTACCTCTGATATCTCCTCTATACCTTCCTCCAATCACCTTAAAATTATACCCCCTTGTAATAGTAATTTTCGCCGTGGGAAAAAGTCTCCGGCTATCCACTCTATTTATGCCTCTCATCATCTTGTACATCTCTATCAAGTCACCTCTCATCCTTCTTTGCTCCAATGAGAAAAGTTCTAGCTCCCTCAACCTTTCCTCATAAGACCTGCCCTTCAGTCCAGGCAGCACCCTCTCTAAAGCTTCCACATCCTTCCTATAATGAGGCAACCAGAACTGAACACGATATTTCAAGTGTGGTCTGACCACAGTTTTATAGAGCTGCAGCATAACCTCGCGACTCTTAAACTCAGTTCCCCTGCCAATGAAAGCCATACGCTGTCTTTACAACCTTATCAACTTGGGTAGCAATTTTAAGGGATCTATGGACGTGGACCCAAGATCCTTCTGTTCCTCCACACTGCCAAGACTCCTGCCATTAACCCCGTATTATGTATTCAAATTCGACCTTCCAAAATGAATCACTTCATACTTTTCTGGGTTGAATTCCATCTGCCACTTCTTTGCCCAGCTCTGATCCTGTCAATGTCCCGTTGCAACCTACAACAGCCCTCCACTCTGTTTACAACTCCACCAACCTTCATGTCATTGGCAAACTTACTAACCCACCCTTCCACTTCCTCATCCAAGTCATTTATAAAGATCACAAAGAGCAGGGGTCCCAGAACAGATCCCTGTGGAACATCACTGGTCACCAAGCTCCAAGCTGAATACTTTCCATTTACTATCACCCTCAGTCTTCTATTGGACAGCCAATTCTGTATCCAGAGAGCCAAATTTCCCTGATTCCCATGCCTCCTTACTTTCTGAATGAGCCTGCCATGGGGAACCTTATCAAATGCCTTGCTAAAATCCATATACACCACATCCACTCCTCTACCTTCATCAATGTGGTTTGTCACATCCTCAAAGAATTTAATAAGGCTTGTGCGGCATGATCTGCCCCTGACAAAGCCATGCTGACTATTGCCAATCAAACCGTGCTTTTCCAAATAATCATAAATACTATCTCTCAGAATCCTCTCCAATAATTTGCCCACCACAGAAGTAAGACTGACTGGTCTGTAATTCCCAGGATTATCCCTATTCCCTTTCTTGAACAAGGCAATAACATTTGCCACCCTCCAAACATCTGGTACTACTCCAGTGGACAGTGAGGTTTAGGCAGTGACAGTTATATAAGGGCAGATGAGAACAGATATTTAGGATGTAATTATCTTCCCAAAGATGGGTGATTGAACCAGGCTGAAAACTCAAGCAGTGAAAACTAATTCACTACGTTCCTTAAAATACCACCTGAACTGGTTTCTGGCTAGAATGGAACCACCTCATGCGATAGGTAGGTATTGTATTCACATGTGAATTTTCCCTCTTTCATTAATTTGCCTAATATTGTATTTGCTTTCTGGATGGTGGTGGAGGTGTATATATTGTGTTATGGGTGACAGACTGGCTGCACTAGTGTACCTTTGTTCATAAATGGCAATAGCACCCGATGTTAACTATTTCTCTTTATCACGTGTTATATTAATCTTTCTATTAACGATAGAACGTGCTTCAAAATACTTGCAAAATCAAATAAGCTGAATGTGTTCCTTTATAGGATACTGTCATTCCAATTCCGCAACAGGTCAGTACGATTTAAATTCATTTTCTTTTAATTGGTTGGTTTTGTGCATTTGCTGATGACATATTTATTACATCAACTATTCTTAATGATTGTACTTGGTGCAAAAGGAGACAGTTTAAAAATAGTTTAAGATGGAGATGAGGGGAATTTTTTTTCTCTCAGAGAATTGTAAGTTCCTGAAACTCTGTTCCCAGAGAATGATCGAGTGAGAGTGATTGAATATTGTGAAGGCAGTGATCGCAAGATGATTGACATAGAAGGGAGTCAAAGGGTATCAGGGGTAAGCAGAAATGTGGAACTGAGAGCACATTAAGGTCAGCCATTATCCTATTGAATGAAGGAGCGTGCTCGAGGGGGCCAAATGCACTACTTCTGCTCCTAATTCATATTCTTGCATGCATATTTGCATATCCCATTTAATCCCATGTTAAGTCTCTAACCACGTACATACTCATGCCATCACTAAGGCTTTTCTACCTTGATAACGTAATACCACTTAACCTTAATTCAATCTTGAAACAAGAAAACTGTAATCCTCTACAACAAACTCTTGGCTGGTCTCCTACAATTTATCCTCCATAACCCAAAGGTTGCTCATGAGGCTGCTGTCTGATCTGTCAACCCACTTGGAGCTCCACTACTCCCAAGGTTGTCACACAAGTTAAAAATTTAACCAAAGTACTCACACTTTTGTATAATGAACTCAGGTTAACATAAAACATCGAACATGTTACTGGACTTAACAGAAAAACACAATTTACTGCAAATAAATCAACTCTACCTGCAAGCAAACAGAAATATGAGTTATCAACATATAACTGCACTAGTTGAAACTCTGACTGCCTTCTTAAGCTTCTGTATACCCATACAGGCAGACACAGTCAAATAAGCTAACATTGTGTTATGGGTGGAGGGCAAAAAACTGAGGAAAGACAGTTCAATCTGTTGGATTTGATGAGGCATCCTTTTCTTCCCAGGGTCCTCTGTTCACTTATCTCTTTATTTCTGGATACTTTCAATTTTTGGCAGAATTCACAGATTGATTTGCACTCTAATTGCAAAGTCTTTCAGTTATTCGTTAGAGGCAACCACTTACAGTGATTGGTGGAAAAGAATATCTAGCTGTCAACCAGGCTTTAGTTGCTTCATACAGAGACAGAGAGTGAAATTTTTCTCCTCTGCAGTCTGGAACCTTCTCTACCTGTACTGTTCACACCCAAACTGTTCACACTGCCCAGGACTGAATCAGAGAGTTGTCATTGTGCTGATGACTTTTGGATCTGCAAATGATTCTCACCGCATAAACCAATCAGCAATCTGTTGCTGGGCAAAGCTCACTCTGCACACACTGCCCTGGTCCTGTTGCATCTTAACTCTCTTCTCCCAGGACTGAACAAAGCAACTGGGTAAACACAGCAACTTGTCTCTAAATGAACACCACTGGAAGGTGAACATCACTAACTGGCCAGCATTTATTGCCTATCCCTAGTTGCCCTTGACAAGGTACCTTGAAGACAGCTAATTCTTCAATGGCACAAAAACAAAGTTTCTGGAAAAGCTCAGCAGGTCTGGCAGCATCTGTGAAGGAGAAAACAGAGTTAATGTTTCTTTTCTCCTCCACAGATGCTGCCAGACCTGCTGAGCTTTTCCAGCAACTTTGTTTTTGTTCCTGATTTAGAGCATCCGCAGTTCTTTCGGTTTTTAATTCTTCAATGGCCTCTGCATGCTATGAATCAAACTGTGAACTCAGAACTCAGAACCTGTGGTTGAGATAACTGTTGCCTTTAAAACTCAGACAAGTATTCATTCCTGAAGGGATATATGATAGCCCTTCAGGAAATGTCAATAAAAAGTTTGGGCCACATATCTAAGGAAAGATGTACTGGCTTTGGAGGGGACCCGGAGGTTTACAAGAATGATGTTAGGGATGAAGGGTGTTTTTTTTTCTTTATTCATTTAAGGGATGAGGGTGTCGCTGGCTAGGCAGCATTTATTGTCCATCCCCAATTGCCCAGAGGGCAGTTTTGAGTCAACTGTATTGCTGTGGGTCTGGAGTCACATGTAGGCCAAACCAGGTAAGGATGTCAGTTTCCTTCCCTAAAGGACATTAGTGAACCAGATTGGTTTTTCTGACAATCAACAAAGGATCTGTGGTCATTATTAGATTCTTGAATCCAGATATTTATTGAGTTAAAATTCCACCATATGCCTTGGCGTGATTTGAATCCGGGTCCCAGAATGTTATCTGGGTCTCTGGATTAACAATCCAGCAATAATACCACTAGGCCATCACCCCCCCCCGACTAGTCAACCTATCAAATAAGAAGCCATTGAGGATTCTGGGTTAATATTTGATGCAGGTCAGAGGATGAGGGCAATCTCATTGAAACTTACAGAACACTGACAGCCCTGGATAGAGTGGAAGTGTAGAAGATGTTTCCACTAGTAGGAGGCACTACTAACCAAGGACACAGCATCAGAGTGAAAGGATAGTCCTTTACAATTGAGATGAGGATGAATTTCTTCAGCCAGAGGGTAGTTACTCTGTGGAATTCACAGATGCAGAAGGGTGCGGGGCCAAGTTATTGTGTACCTTTAAGACAGTAATAGATAGGTTCTTGATTAGTAAGGGGATCTGGGGTTATGGGGGAAAGCAGGAGAATGGGTTTGAGAAACATATCAGCCATGATTGAATGAAGGAGCAGATTCGGCAAGTTAAATGACCTAATTTTACTCCTATATCTTAATGGTCTTATGGTCTTACTCTTGTTGAATCCATCCCTTCCATTCATGATGGTATTGATGCTCAAGTGGAGCCTCCTCATATGCCTTTACATTCATTATATCTAAAAATAGGGTTTTCTATTCCTGCTAAGTCGTACTCTTGTCTCGCATCTACTTATATGTCCATAGGATTTCAATTATCATCTATATCTGCTACAGTTTACCACTCTCTACGTGAGGATGTGTTTTTCTGAATTGCCTGTTTGATTTCTCAATGACAATTCAATATTGATTTTCTAGTATTGCTTATTGTTCAACTGGAAAGTCTTGAGCCTTGAACATGCCAACACCTGCCAACTCCCCATTTTTCCTGGAGCTCCCTGTTTGAATCTCTCCAGTCAGATTGGTGCCCCTGTTATAACTCTGGATCAACAATGAATAAAGTCATAAAGAACGTCCTATGTGAATATGCTGGGTGATGGCAGCATTAATTTAAAGCAATTAACATAAAGTTATATCAGACCAAATCAATCTTCCTTCTTTAATGCTATTGAAATGGATCACATGAGGTCTGAGGCTTGAAAGGGTATGGCAAATATTCTTGATATAAATGCATGATTTTTCATGTTTTGACAGACTTTATTACAACAGCAGCAACAACAACAGGTATGGAAAGTATCTTCAAGCAAATGTATTCATTCACATTTGAAGGATTAAATTTCATTAAATGTGTTTTGTTTGCTTCCTCCAACTCCCCAACCATCCCCGCCCCAACAAAACCGTAATCATTATTCCTGATACCTTTATTGACCAAACCTGGTCTAAAATACACTGAACATATC